CCTCTGTTGGCAGTGCAAGAGAATGGTTCTGGAATACACCCCCCTCATCCTGGTCAACGGCGAGAGGTTCCTCGAGAAGAAGGATGTATGCACTCTTATGCAAGCCTGCGACGCCAGCAAAACGAGGGCCGGCGGATCGTTCTTCGATGGGGAACTGCGGAGCGATGCTTGATGACAGAAACACACATCACTTGTAGGAATGGTGGAAACAGGGTGATGAGGTGATTGTTGTACATATAAGTTAGCTCTGTTCTTTGGAACGTCCTTATACTAGTACTGTATTAGGGAGAGGTATGAAGAGATCGCGCAACACTCTGTCAAGTTATTGTGTATGAGTTCGTGCTACTACTACTATTTATAAAAACCAACGAAGGTCATACCTTTTTTTTTTGACAACCAATACCACCTTCTGTTGATTGAATTTTAATTTACATCCAGAGGTCTGAAAGAAGTTAGATATGGTAAGTTACGGATGCTCTCCTTGCAAAGATCGGCTGCTAGCGGTGAAATTTTTTAACAGAAAGATTTGCAGCATTTTTCATCCGAACCTTGGACGACAGGATTGGCCGTAGCTTCCACATTTGCCATGTGAGATAAATCTTTAAAATTGCTAGTAAGTAGACTGGGTACTTATTTGCACGATCTAGCATGTTGCGAGAGGCCGGTTGTCACGCTTGGACGGGAATTCTTCGTATGGACATCGAAATCGTCTTGGGTAGGGTGTATTTAGTTCGAGGGACAAGCGGTTGGTTATGGGCATCCCCATGAACCAAACAGATGCTAGCCATACGATAAACGGAAGGGATAACCTAGCAACCAAACACACTCTTAAGTGGCACATTTGAGGTGATAGGTTGGTCTATCAGAAATATGGATATCCCTGCCTCAAAGAAATGATAACCCAACAACCAAACACACGTAGTAAGTGAAACATTTGAGGTGACATGTTGACGGCAGCTGAAATCTCTACTTGGATCGGTAGAGAAGCGTTTCAAAACTTTC